GATAACTCCAATGGGTCCGGGTATAACCCTTAGGGCAAGGCGCATGGCAGAAAATATGACACCGTGACGACCACATTGCAAACCGGACAAAGAACAAACCAACACAACATATTACACACCATGAGCTCCAAGCAACGAAGCTACCTCTCCGGTTTACATCCAAAATACTTCAATGAGGGCCACACCGCATGAAACCAACACCAACCCCAAACCGTTTCGGACATCATGACGCACACGGACGAACTAATCCCGACTCCAGCATGTCAACAAACACAACCATCTAACAATCTGCAAGCTTTGTCTCTCGCTTGCTCTCTTCAAGGGGTCAGCACGTTCCCCTGCCCTCCCCGCCGAACACGAGGTCAAGATGTCAAGATACGCACTTAATCTCGATTTGGACATGTCTATTTCTGTCATGTTTTGACAGACACCTACTATCCGGAATCTACCACAATGCTCTCTCTGTGTGTGTGTCCATTGATTCAATCCATTTGTGTGGCAACTGCTACAATTGGAATGTCCATTCCACTTCAAGCAGCATTGTCCTTAGCAAAAGCACTGCACCTGAGTAACTTATATCCTATGCAGCTCCAACAAGCATGCTCGAACAAGTATGATCATGTTTGGACATCACCCCACTCAAAGGCAACTCACTGAACATCGGCCATGCTAAAGCTATCCAAAAGGGACTTATGAACAATAGACGACTGTGACAAAACACGCATGGTCCGCGAGAAACACCATGGCCAAGCTTCCCCATCAGAAAGCTCAATCCCCCAACTCTCTCTCCCTCTTTGCCTATGCGCCGCTTCTGCGAGTTCCTGCCAATTTGGTCGGCTGGCTTTATGCGGGCATGTGTTAGCCGTCCTTGTGACACCATCGCAAAGATTCTAGCTTTCTAGAGTTTGCCTTCGTAGTTGTGCATCTTTGGCATTGGAGCAGCTACAATTGGCTGCTGTTCTCCACCTAAAGGTTAGTCCCAGTTCATTTCACCTTTCAGGATTTCTCACACCGTGAGCTCACCAAAGGCCACCAAAGGCGAATGCCGTGCCACCAAGAAGGGAACATGATTTTGCTCTCGCTGGCTCCAGGCACTTAGCCATATTGAGCGTCGCCCATGGGGGCCATGCCAATGGAGTACAGTTGAAGGGCTTCAGGTTTCCAGATGCAAAAAAACGGAGGGGCTCGAACGGAAGCAATCTCGTCTGCACAATGACTGTTTTGCGATGCTGCACTGCCAGTGCTTTGCAGTCAAGCTGCACGCAGCTGCAGCTAAAATGCATGGCGGGGGGAGAGGGGCACCCAGTATACGTCTTGCACATAATGTGAGAAGATTCATGCCAAGTCTGGCTGTGTGTGTGTAAGCATTCAGTCCTCTCAAATTTCAACGTTCATGTATTTAATATCATATTATAGAGTTGCCAGGGCAGCAAGTCGAGCATTTGCTGCACTGAACTCCGGCTGTACTGAGATGTCGAGATATGGTACTGTAGGATATGTTCCATCTCAGCCTGGCATGTACATAATAAGAATGAAGCATATGCAATGGTTTCAGCAGCCACAAGTAGCTGCTAGCAGCAAACCACAAGCAAAATTGGCAGCTACTGGAGAAACAGTATTCAGAAACAGCAACAGCATTGCCGTCCCACATGTTAATCTCGCACATATAAAAACAATTCCCATAATTAGGATGCCATGGTTCACACGTATTCCACGATCGAATGACTAGGAATCCAAGTCAACAGCCACGGGAGGCTCAGTCAAAAGTACAGCGCCCGTTCCCCATGGGGATTCCTTAGATGGGTGTGTCTGTTTTTGAGGGTACTCCCCTTTCGTGGTTTGAAGGAAAGCCATCAGGAAAACCACCATTTTGGGTATCCTCTTAAACAAAAAGAGACAGACGCGATTGGTATTGCAACCGTTGATCAAAAGGTTAGGTCGGTTTTGGCAAAAGGTTTCTCAAAATGGTCCCGTTTTTGGTGGGTATTCAAGGGCAAGCAGGGGAAACTTTACCCTGCCGAGCCAAACCGACCCCAAGACAACCCTACACAGGCATATTAGCCCTGTGACGAGCCAAAAGAAGCCCAAACAAACCCAAGACCCGCCCTCATCAAGTTCTCAGGCAGCTAAAACTCATCCGAGTTTAACCCGCAAGCAACTCTCAACTGACAACCATATCAGAGACAATAGGAAGACCTAGATCACCATGAGACTGGCGATGCCAGAAAGCCAGCCAATCAACCAACCAGCCAACCAGACACCCAACTAAAGGCAAGCCCCAACCGGCTAGCAACAAAAAACAACGGTTGCCCCAACAGGGATCCGTACATCATACACCTGAACATTGCCTTGTAAATGGTGGTTTCCCTTTATTTTGGTGGAAAACACCACGTTTCAAATGGGCAAAATGTATCTTTTAAGAAGCCCTGCCCAAAGTGGGTTGCTTCCGCGGCCTGTCTGAGCACCTGGGATGTCCGCACAAACAAGCCCTGTGTGGGGAGAGTACGGCGTCACCTGACGCAAACCAAAGATGGGACCGCGATGTCGCGATGAGCCATCCGCAATATCTGAATTGCACTCGTAAAACTTCGCTGTTGGCCCCAAACCTCGATTTGGAAGGCAGTTGATGTTGAGGGGAGCTCTCGGAAAGAAAGAGGGAAACAAGGGCACTGCTGGACACTGGAGGTCTGGGAAATTCACACCTGCTTCTGGGGCTGCTCAAACCGGTCAAGAGCTGAGGCTGATGAAGTTTCAATCAAGCCACTGAGATGTTCTTCAAATCGCAAAAACAAACACAACTCTGACCCGCAGGTCACCTGCATTTTGGAAATAGCATGCAAACAAGCAGGATCTGACAAAATGTGCTTTGCATTGTGGGTACTTGTCATCAGTCAAGAATACCAAATGCAATATTAGAAGAAGTTTAGCCAGGGGCATGTTGTGCCACCCCTCATTTCGAAACATGGACACTTGAAACGAACTGGAGGCCACTGACAGTCTCAATGGAGGTAAACGGCAATCGAGCGTCGGAACCAACCGATGCAAACCTATATAGTATAATCATAATGGGTTTGCTAAGCTGATATTGGGGTTGCACTTACTCGTTTCCAAGTCGAACCCTTTTCTTAGTGTCTATCATATCGTATTCCCGCACGCCTTGCTGCATGAGCAAACTTAAACGGTTCCTCTCTCTCTCTCTCTCCGAAAGGGCACCTCCACAACTGAACGGAACCAACTCAGATGCCCAGTGGCCATGAGAAAAATTGCACCTTCTTTTTGGTTGGTTGAGTTTAAAGGGAATTACCCCCAAAAATGGGAAAAAGGGCACCACGGGGCAACAGAGCCCAGCTTCTGCTCGCTCACAAAGCGGCTGGCCGGCCTCCGGCGGGTCGTAGATGTTGAAAGGCACGTGGCCCTTGAACCTGGCGGAAAGTCACAGGGTAAGCCACTAGCGCCAACGCAAGGAACTATGTCGAAGCACCAGAGCTTCCCAAAAGCGGCCATCAGATCGAATGCTGTGGGTCTCAAATACAAGACAGCAATCAATCTTGCCTTTGGCTTGCTATCAGCTTGGAACGTGATGCTGTGTGGCATCATTTCCTTGGGGCCGTTGAAATCTATGAGTGCGGCTTACTTAGGGCTGGTTTTGGCCAAGCACATCCTAGCAGCAGGCTGACTTCACATAGCCTTTGACTTGATTCTCAACACTTTTCCTCAAAATGCCGTCAGCTTTTAATAGAATAATAAGCGTCAGCCGAGCATCACACATTTGTTTACTGCATCTTTAACACAAGGCATCCTTTTGGGATGGCAAGGAAAGTGAACCAACCATTTGGAGGCCACGTCTAAACCCAATGAGTTGCCTTTGCACGGGGCCATGGTCAGTCTGAAGCCATGCCTCTGTGGTACTGCGCCAGGAACGTCGGCACGAATCAAGGATGCCTTCGCAGCGAGGCAGGCATGTGCCAAAATCGTATACCCCTTTTTGCTTCATGAAACCAGCCATTTGAAAGAGTTGTCTGCTTGACACGCTCGAACATGTCAAGATTCAACTGACAAGAAAGAACGCCTGCCCAACCAGCGACCTTGACAAAAGCTGATATCTCAGAGCCGGATCTCAGCTGCTGGGCTTGGGAGTCTAGGAACCCTTCTTCTTCTTTCTCGGGCCCTACACTCCCCAAAGAAACATACCTCCGTGCTATTGAATACTAAATAAATCATGACCACCCCCACACACACACACACACACAAAGAAAGAAGAGTTTACAGTACATGCTAATCCAAAGGTGATGGCAACATATTTGTCACTGACATCTGGGCAACTCGTGTGCAGCCCCTTCCGCAATGAGGGCTACCAAGTGGCTTGACTAAACGGGGTCATGCCAAATCTAACACGAGTCATCCTGGTACCAGCATTCCCTTGGGCTTCCTCAATCTCAGCCCAATAAACCCTTGGGTCCCTAGACATGCTATGAGCCGCGCCTGTGGCTCTCCCTTGTCCCGGTGAAGGACCTTGGAAGAGCTCGGCAGAGCTGCATGCAGAATGCCTGGGGAACATACAGCGCACTACTAAATTTTAACCCAAACGCCTCTGCTTTCTACTAGATGGGGCTGCCATGAATGAAATGAAACAATGTCTGTCTAGTTTAAACAAGCTGACCAAAAAGGGCACCTATGGCAGAGGTCCTCAAATGCTGCGGCCGATCAAGGTTTAAGTCCCAATGCGCTGCACCCCTGGCAGCGTACGGCAGATATGAGAGCGGACACTGTGAACACGACGTGGCAACATGACTGTCCAATGGCAAGCGACCAACGGTTCGGAGCTCACAAACCAGTTGCAAGACTTGCGGCATTTCACACGGCAACATGAACTTCCCATGTGGACTGCGTTTGCTTAGGGCTGCTTCTCCGCAGAGTTGAACAGCATGCATCCAAAGCGTTATACAGATATATAAGCATCATGGCATTTAGTGACTTTTACATGGTGCGCTTTTTTTTCCATGACCAGTTGCAGAAACAAGTGGTCCATGTTTTGCAATAGAGACATGGCTCAGGGGCCATGGCCCTGGGCGTGGAGCCAGGCACGGGGCCGGCCTCCAGGCTGACTGGCACCAAAACAAGCTCTTTGGGTTCCTGTGGCTTCCGTATGGCCTGGTGCCCTCCCAAGAAAGCTTGCCGGAATTAAATGATTCTTGCACGAGGCACTGAATTTCACCCAAAGTTGCAATTCACTGGTGGTTTCCATAGAAACTGCCACTTTTGGAGCTTCCCTCAGTGGAAATGGAGGAAACCCTGTGCAATCCCCTGGCAACGTGGCAAGCTCACTGCAGGGTTGCTCCCAAAAGGAATGAGGGGATCTGAAACCTATCAACAAATCAACATGCGCCGTTCCCTGGGTTCTTTAGTCTTCCAAGTTTCCAGGAAACCCGCAAGGGGAATGATGGCCATGAACCCTTGCGCAACTAAAACCTCAGTGAACAAGCCACTCATGTTGCTGGGCAAGTTTTGGTGCTCCAGAAGGTGCTCATTGCTGCATCCTTTTGCTTCAGGCACAACTGCAACACGCAGAAGAGCTCCCGCCTTGCTTGGAGCCAAAGCTGTCTCTGGTCCTTCTTGATAGAAGGGATGTGTCGTTTTTGTGTGGACCTCAGAGGCGAAATGTGTGCGCAAAGCGGGATTTGACTTGCCTAGAACGCAGGGAAAACAAACTTGCCAACCTGCATTCCGCACACACACGCACACACACACGGCATGCATGCACTCAATTCCTCCGAATGCGCTCCAGCATGACGGATGGCAATCACTGGCTTTGACACCTGACGCAGCTCTTTTGCACCGCAAGCTTATCCTCTTCGAGACAGCTCGCCAAAGGCTGCATAGTATGCTGCCATATTCTCTTCGCTCGCTGCGGTCCTCGCGCCAGCCGGCAAACCAACTGGACGATGGGTGCGCCCCAGCATTCCCCCGCCCCCGCTCGGGAATTCAGGTAGTTTCATCCTCCTTCCATGCGGTAGCTGGCTTGCTTCCACAACGGGCAGCTGGATTTTGAAGGGCCCTTCACTGGAGGTACGCCCACCCCCCGCAGCCCAATACTGCCACAGGTTCTGCAAACACTGAACTGTAAGACATTGACATCAACTCACTCACTTTAGGTGTGAGATTAATAAACCCCTGGTTGACTCCCACGTAGGCGGGGCGTCCTATTCAATAGGAATCCCTTTACCTTTTGGGGAAACGCCTCCCTATAAATCCGCCAATTCATCCGGGGTCGACATCACAGCTCATCAGCGACACAGCGAGCGGCACTTCATTTTGAAAGGCTCTCTACCTGTCAAAGGCAAATGCTGGCGGTCCCCGATGGTGGCATCGACAGCACGATCTGCGGCAATGCTTGCGGCAGGGAATGTCAACGACCCCCAGCCCATGAAAAGGCCATGTCCTAATCAAGCCTTCAAGGCTTTGGCGTACTATCAAAGTAATCATGGGCGAAACAATAAGGACAATCGTCAAAACACACTTGATGATATGTAAGGGGAGTATCAACTGGCAACGATTTCAATTACGGATTTGTACGTGTGTGGGTGCGTGACACCTACCAAGAGGCAGATGCTCGCTCTCTCACTTTGCTGCTCTCATGTAGCGCCATGTTGCAACGACTGCCAAGGACGATTCCACCGCACCACAAAGGGAATACTTCCTTGTTTGCGAGCAAGCAGCACATCTGAGACTCACTCAAGCAGTACCAAACAGGAAAACACGAGCGTCAAAAGTCTCTTCCGCACTTTCGCAACAACTTCGAACAAAACGGCCCACATCTCGCATCTCGTTTAAATTTCGGCGGTTCGCCTGCAAGAAGCCAGCTGGAAATGGGGTCCAATCCAAGGAGCCTATCACACGAGGCCGCGCCTTCGAGGCTGAGGTTGCCGAGGGTGAAACTTTCTCTGGTGCGCCTTCTTTGGACACGGGCGTGCCGGCACCACCTAAGTGGCTCCAGAAAACGGGTGCCTAAAGCTGCAACCGGCAAGCAGGCAGCATGACTAGGCTGGAAAGTGCTTCCCACTGAGTGACAGGCTTGATCCAGTGACCTCGCAGGCAAGGACACAGGACAGCGGGCAGTAAGGGCAGAAAGGATGAATCTCGTGGTTAAGTCCACAATCAAATCCCTTCAAAGCACCAAAAGGCCCAAGTTCATGGCGGCATTTGGAGTGTTGGAGTGTTGGGCCTTCAAAGGAGTTGGATTGCCAGTGCCTTGTCGAACAGCTCCTTCTTCTTCTCCTCGTCCAATCTTGACATGTGCGCTCGGCCTAGGCGCTCAGCCCTGGAGGCCAGGAATCGAGGGCTGTGCAGACAAGATCCCTGATCGAATCAAAGCATTCTTTTCGCATTGTCTTGCGTGACATAGACAAATGGCAGCGTTGGCTGCAAAGTAAACAATCATGCAACCGAGTCTTGGACCTCATACTTCCTGCTCCGTGCTGAAGACTTTGTTTTGGGAGCCAGATCGTCTGCTTGGCACATGACCAGCTGTGTTAGTCACACGTCCAACCAATGCGCGCGCCCCAACTTGTTTGGCGCATAACAACCGCCAACCAGGCGACAACAAAGTCGCAAAGTAGCCAATCTATGTTTCCTTCAGCAAACACACTTGACCGCTTGAAACAAACCAACATGGCCCTGGCGAATGGAAGACGACCAATCTAAACCAAACCCGTGCCATCCATTTCTTACCAAACTAAGCTAAAAGGTCAAACACCTCTCAACACAGTGTGCGACTCTCCAAGCCCTCGAACCTCGAATCGCAGCTTGGGCTTGAGACCTCGCAGGCCGGAAAACCAATTCTCGAACTCCCGGCGCACTTTCGCCTGGCACGTGGGCTGCCCTAAAGGCAGCCTGGGGAGCCCACGGTCAAATCAGGCGGACTTGAAAGGGGTGTCCCAAAAGGGGGGCCATTTTGACAATAACTCAAGAAAAAATTGGCTCATGGTTTGATGCTGATTCCGTTGCGGCACTTGTTTGGGTAGGTTGGATGGTGAATGATTTAGATGGAGAGTCATAATCCAAACTCGGCCCGCTGTCGGACACTACCCAAAATCATGTAAATAATCAACAAAAAAAGAGCCGGCCCCTTCGTTCTGTGCCCCCTGGCATGAGGGCAATCAAATGGTTCCGCTGAGCAACCACAAGCCGGAGGTTCTGCTCGAGGATCGCTTCGGCAGATTAAGTGGCTTGGAGATCCCCTAACATTTAAGAAAAGCAAAGGAGAACCCTCCGGCTTACCCACCTGGTTCCTTGTTTTGAGGCTCGATACGCTTGTTTGGGGCTGGCTTAAAAAGGACACCTCAACGAAAGCCACTCTTTTTGGGGGTTCCACCTGCACAACACACACACACACCCATCATGTTCATGATGGTCAACATTCTTCAACCTGTGGGATGGTCATGATATGTCATGATCTTCCTGGCAGGAGCCCATAGTTGAGCATCCCCACTAAGCCAAGCAACTCCAGGTCACCAAGGGCCTTGACCACACTATGATGTTGTCTGGAATCCTCTGACACACGGGGGAGGGGCTTCCTAGTTCCAATTGTCTAGTGTCCTTTCCGGGAGAAAGAAAGGTGCCAAACAAACAATTGATGGAATTCCAGGGACAACAGGCAGGGCCCTCCACCACTTCCATCAAGGTAACTGCCTGGTTCTGCTCCAGCATCTTCTGAATGCCCTCCACATCACTCTTCACGCGGCGCCTCAATCGCAGCCATCTGAGTCACTGCTCACAGCGATTCAGCCATGTCTGCCTCCTATGAGTTTGATGAGAAGACAGGCGTTTGTTTTGATGACACTGCAAAGTCAGGTTCGGGGCCTACCAAAATAGCTGTGTGTGTAAGTTGTGGCGCATCGACTTGGTTCAGGGCTGTCATGCTGGTGTTACACGAACTACCGCAGCTTGACCGCATGGCCTCTCCCTCTCCCTCTCTCTCTATCTGCCCCTGGGTGCTTGGGGGAATTTGGCTGAGCCACACCCCATGTTCTCAGCAATTGACCAAAGCAACCTGTCCAGTCATACTGCTAATCGTTGGGGGTGAGCCGCTACGTCTCTTGCTTTCGGGCGGGCAAGTACTCAAATGAGTCAAATGACCAGCCCCCAGCTTGTTCAGCAGGTCTAAAGGAACCAAAGGGAACCCTCCTGAAAAGGGTCCCTGCTTTGTTAACTTGAAGATCAGAATGCGTTAGTTGATATGGATTTGTGTTCTTGGGGGGGACCCCCCAACATGGCGGGTTTTCCTTGTGGGGTTTCCGTTCGAAACCACAATAAAGGGGTACTAGTACCCTCCCAACACAAAACACCAAACGGAAATTGCCAACCCGCTTTTTCAACCAGGCAATTGAACCCCTACTAAAATCGCCAACAAAAGTTGTGGGCGTTGCTCACTTACTCTTGACCAAGGTAGTGCAAGGAGCTGAACAATAGCACATTATTATCCTGTGATCATGGCTTAATTTGGTTTTGAAGTCCCTCACCCAGTGTAGGTATTTGGTCCTTACGGGTTTGTCCGACATTTTGAGGCTTTCCCTTCTTAGCTCGTTGTTTTTTTGACAAACCGGAAGGACCACTTCCATTCTGGTTCCCGCCCCCCTCCAAAATGCGAGTCGAGTTCCGGGCAACTCCGCGGTCTTCTCCCGGTAAAGGCCCTTGAGACGCTCGATGGCCTGAACCTGTCGCTTGGTTTCCTGTGGTTTCCGATCGCTGGCTTTCAACCCGCCCCTCCCCCTTGCGACTGACTCACTTGAAGCCCAGTCACGGACAAGTCCACAAAACATGTCTTGTCCTTCCTGTCGGCTTTTCGGGTTGTTGGAAGGACGCTTAGGTGCATCAGGGTTCTTGCGCAAAACATGCCAGACTATCTTAACATGGTTGCCAACAAGCATTTGCTGCAGGCGGGCTTCTTGTTTGGACCTGTGTTCTCTTGGGTTGTCTCCTGTCAGGTTCCAGGTTCCATCATCTCCCTCCATGATTGGTCCAGGATTGGAGCGGTTCTCTGTCCTTTTTGAAGGTTTTCCAAAAAGGTTCCATCCTCTCCATGATTGGTCCAACCCTTTCAACTCCTGAAAATCATGGAATCAAGGGGATGCTTTAGACCCGACTCGCCTCTGCAGCTTCCTCGGGCCCATCTTCCACTGCAGAATCGTTGCCCGCCGCCGTCATGGCCTTAAGATGAGGGCGGGCTCGTCTCAGCTGCAGTGTCAGATTTCTGATGTGGGCCGTGGTTTGTTGAGACGGAGTCTAAGTTTTTGTTTTGATAGCCGTGTCAAAAATAGTAACAATCTGGACCACCCCTGCCCCAAACAACCAGGTCTCACCCACATATGACCCATGAGAAGTCTCTTGCTCCCCCATCTAGGGCCCTGTGGCGTCAGCCGCTCGTGCCTACTAGCGCCTACCTGACTCAAATAGAATGATGCGAGGTGCAACGGGCATTGCCACCTGTCAAAGTGACTCACAAAGAACAACTGGATGCCAGGTGGGAGTTACGACCAGCATTGTTCTTGGCTTCTCTATAGAACTCCAAACGACTCCTGATTAGATTGCATGCCGTTTTTAAATGACAAAATTGACGGTGATCTTTCTTATTCCTGGACTGATGCAAACAACAAAGACACTCCTTGCAGAAACGAAACCTCAAAGATACAGAGCCCACCTGTCTGCCCCAATTGCAGCCATGTCCAATCCGAATCAAGCCACCTGACAGGGACCTTCAAACTCGCTGAGCGTTTGAAGACTGAGGCAGCGGCCCTCTCGGTGCGCAGCCTCAAGAGCTTTGTCTTGACCTCAAGTCACGGGCCAAGTGACTAGCGGCTGGTTGCCAGCAAAACAGCGAGACACAAACACCGTTGAACTCATCATATGTGTTAGTATGCAGCGAGCTTAGTTGCTTAGCTTACATCACGGCTGCCTTGCAGGTTTGCATTGCTGTAGCTGTTATGCCTCCATGGATCTGCTTTCAACACGATCGCACAGAGATCCTGTTCCGTTTCACCTTCAGCTTGAACAGGGAGCCACCAGCTGCTTCAACAGCCGGCTTAGCTGCTTCGGCATCTAAGCTGGCATCCTTCAAACAGTAAAAAAGACATCCTAAAACCATGCCAACGCTTCAAAGCACAATGATGGGCGACTGGTTCAGGTTGCTGTGCTCACGATGTTTGAGCTGTGCCCATCTAGCTGGAACGCCATTCCGTTCAATATGTTCAATAACGCTCCGGACACCCAGCTTCTTTCCTAGCCACGAGGAATGACCTTCACTGTGTTGCCGCGGGTGCATGAATCATATGCTAAGTGCAAAACATCAAACAAGCCGTACTTTTCGGAGACCTGAGCATAGGGCATCCGTAGCATCTACAAGAGCCTGTATGAGCACTTATGTTGTAAAATGGTGTGCTGTGGCTTCTGAACAGTTTCCAGACCGTGCTTGGCTTGCGCACACTGTCGTGGTTGTTCATAATTGGTGCGTGACCCTCTGGACCAAACTTGGAACACGAAGTACGCGTGACTGAAGAACTGGGTTTGTCATTGGCTCAGGTCTAATGTGAAGCCTGCGAAGCCTGCCCAGAATCCTTAACAAGAAAGAGCTCTCAGGGTGGCACAGAGTCAATATCCGTCTTCAGCTGCAGAGCCTGCAATTCGGCGCGGGGTCCCAGGGTTGCTTACTGAAGATTGCAACACACGCAGCCACACGCACCCGGTGGGGGTTGGGGTTGTGAGCTCCTGCCTCCTTGCCGATTGCCTGGGCCTCTTCAATCTTGTCCTTGAGCAATGCCTGCAGAGTTGGGATCAAGCTTGGCCTTGGCAGTTTCCCCGCTGTGACAGGTCTGACATGCCAAAAGCAAGCCTGCACTTTCAGGGGGGCATACAGCGGCATACCTTTGCAGAAAAAGGTGGTCTGAAAACGACAACCCTGCTTTGAGGTCCGCGAAGCGTGAACGAGCGGGTAACGGGGACCCACCAGAAAATCATGACCTAGCAAATAAACCCTTGGAGAAAAACAGGTCTGCCGGTTATCCGCTTGCAGCTTTGGCCAAATCTGGCCCAAGGCCGCGCAATTTGCTGCTCTGTCAACAGCCCAACAACTACAAGTCATGCCCGTTGAGTGAACTATATCGGTGCTGGCTGCTTTGAAAGCTGCTCACTTTGCTCGGAGCAAACCCACAAACCCTCCACACACAACTTCAACAACTCCTTGTCGAGCATTTAGCCATGCATATGTCACGCATATGTCGCTTAAACATAGTCACCCACAAATTTCAGAACATTGACATGCATACGATCCGCAGCAAATCTCAGAGGCGAACATGTCACGACCGATCGCCTTGTTCTCTTTGAAGGCCTCTGGGGGCTTGTAGACCTTGTCCCAGAAGACCTGTCGTTTCGGTCGATTTGGCCGATCGAGCAACAAAGCAATGCAACACGTGGGCAGGTGGAAGAGGGTGCTTATCAAGTTTGGGAGCCCAAGTGGATCTTCTTCTTTTTGGTCTCTCCTTAAGACCATCTAAAACAGAAGTTTCATACTCTGGGACTCTGGGACGAACTTAAATCTTCGACACCAACTTGGATAAATTGATACCTATTGCATCAGCGTGAACTTTCCAGCCACAATACCTGCTTCCCACTTGCAAACTCAAACGCGTCCAGCTCCTTCACTCTACCGGGATCTGGTGATCGTTTGCCTTTCGCATCCCACCGTACACCTTGAAACACAATCAACAAACTTTTCGGACCCCTCTCCCCAAAACAGGGTGAACGAACATTTCTTCGGTGTCAAGGGACTGGTACGAGTCACAGGAGCAAGGGGAAAAACCGCCGGATCACGGCAAATCCAAGGGCTGACCCCACGGGCCCCTTGGCTCTGAGAGGTCCTGTGCAGAATGGGAACTGTCCACCAGCCACTTCATAGCCATTTGGGTGTGTTTTTTGGGGTTCCCATTTGGAGATAATTAACCTCATAGTGATACTCAACTGCCCAGTGACTGCGGCAGAAGGCTAGCCCTTTTGGGGCTTGATCATGTTTAGTGAGGGAATCAACTTGCTGGTTCTGAGAGAATCAACAGGGTTTGCGAATGAACCAAGGGGAAATGGAAAGCCTTCCCATTTAGATTTCGCTTGAGGGAAAATCAATCCACTGAACTGGGACCCATGTCGGCCTCCAGGGCTTTCTGCTTGTCCAGCAGCAAATCCGCCGCTTCCTCCGGCGACATCGATGGCTGCGTCGCCCGTGCAGCCGCGGTTTTCGCCGACTGGCCGATGCGCTGCCATGGTTCGGATTTGGATGTGCTAGGCTTGGGGAACTGTCATAGAAACCAGCAGACGCACCAGGAAGTTAGCCCTAACCCCTTGTTTTGGTGGGGGGTTGGTGAACCTGGGCATAAGCATCATGCAAATTAATTGGAAGCCAACCCGTCATTTACAGGAGCGGAGTCTCCTCGAAGGGTACACCATTGTTTGTTCTGTTTTTGAGCATCCATGATAATTAGCAGGGAACTTACTCAGCTAGTTCAAGAGGGGCGGGAGCTCTAATCTGCAATCATAGTGGGACGCCATTACAACAAGGGACACCACAATCATCTGGCACGAGGACTGAGGATGGTTTTGAACAAACCAGGGTAAGCAGGTGTCTCGCAAAGGCAGGGCTGTTAATTACACTCCAGAACATGTAGATGTACGTCTACAAATATACATGTGTATGCGGCTGTATGCATATTTGTTTCAACAAAAATGCATAATGTGTGTGTGTGACGTGAATGCTCCTCTGCAGGTACAACACATCATAATGTGCTTGTTTTGCCACGATGCGTGTCGAAACGGTATTAAAGAGACACCTGCTGGTTGCGCGAGCCAATAGAAGTGTGTTTGTGGCCGCATGGTAAGTGTGAGTGGGTGCCCTCATTTGCTTCGCAACACTGCAAAGCAACGTAATTTTCATAGCTCGCACAACTGAGCCAGCCAGACCTTCCATTTTGCAAACTGTGATCTCAAGCAGTCTCCAAGTAATACCATTAGCAAAGTGTAGACGGATTGCAAAGAAATCTTAATATCTTCCCCACAACGGCCACTGCTTTTGGAACTCGTTGCTTCGAAATCTTGGGAATACGATGCTGAAGCTACTTGTGAGGGTGGTTGCATGCCAGCGTACATGTATCATGGCCAAAGTGCCTCATGGTTCCCGTAAAGCAAGCCTTGGGTGTCTAAATTCCTTACCTTGAGCATCCCAACACCAAAGGGGACTAAGCGTGCCAAACCCTGCCTTCGGGAGAGCAGCGCTGCTCCCTGCCTGGTGTTGTGCTCATGTTGGCAATGCGTTTGGATGATCCATCCAGCTCTGGATGGGTCATAGGTGTCCGTTTACAAAAAAGTTGGCCGTGGTAGATGATTGAACCACCAGGTAAACCATCTAGTGTTCAACCAAGCCGACCAAAAAGGACACAAATGGCTCGATTTCCAATTCGCACGAATGTTTGGGGATACATGGCCGCCATCGCTTTTTGCTCTGGAACAGCTGGAGTCCCGGACATGTGGAACATGTTCAATTGAGGGATCATACACTCGTGACTAAAATTAAAGAAGTCTGCTGGGGCTTCTTTGCTGGATCAAGCATCGGAATGACAGTCATTTCTAGTTCGAGTTGTACCCATGTCAAAGATACAGCAAAGTGCAGAAACAACATCCAAAATAATTCTGTGCTTGTGATGCAAGATGTAGCTGAAATTGTGCAAAGAGGCCACATCCAAAGAGTCCCACGAAAGGAAAGCTTTCTTACACTGGCTTGCCAACATCTTCGGTCACCTGGCGGACTCAAGATGTGTATTGTTCATTCGAGCTCAACGCCTGCAATTCTGCCCCAAGTGATTGCTTCTGGGTTCCCTTAATTACTTCCTTTTGCATCTTTTTCCAGGCGAGGAATTCCTGAATGCCGACTTGACCTCGGCTTCAAAACGAGGTCTTCTGAAAACCCTACGATGGAAGGCTAACTAAGAAATACAAGGGATAGTGCAATACCTGCTGCACGAGGTATAGAACAATCCCAAATCAACCTGTTCCAGAGAGGTTCTCACAGACCTCAAATGCGGAAGCCCCAAAATGGTTTTGGTTGTCTTTGATTTCCCTTTGAAAGACCTCTCAAGGGGTCTTGGGATGCTAGTTTTCCAAACCCTCTGTCCACTTCCATGATTGTTGGAAAGAGGGCATTCTGCCAGCCCCATCATACCAATTTGGGCCTGACATGAAGAATGCTGAAAAGGGGCATTCTTTCGCTGGTCAAACTAGGGGAACCACCCCTTACCCCCCTTCCCCCCCCAAGAAAAAAGTGGCTTCCTTTCGGGTTTTCCCTTTCAGGCAACCCCCAAAAGAGTATCTTACCCAAAAACCAACGCGACTCGTTGATGTTCCCCACCTTTGCCTCTGGCGCCTTCGGCGAAGCCTCCGGCACTTTGGTGGTGGCCGCCAGGGGCGAGCTCTCAGCCGCCTGGCGCGTCCTATGAAGAAGGTCCCACCCTTCTGTTTGTTCATTCTGCATCAGGGCCCCAAAAAAAGACGAGGTGAGAGGGTGATGTTTCTTTGAAGACGCAAAAATGTATGTTTTGACCCAAACACGAAACCAACAGTCGCTGTGTTCTAAGCCACTTGCGCACGAAGAGACATATGAGATCCCTTTTGCCAAGGCTTTCGCGGAGCTGTCGCGGTATGAGAGATTCACCCCTTTCACGAACCATTTTGCAGCTTTCGTGGCCTAGGAAAAAAAGGAAGACATTTCCTCACGAATACTTAAATACGGAATCGAAACGAATACGGCGTCGCCACTAAATATCCGGACACTTAAATAGGCTAACTTGGATTTTATACTACCTCTGCAAGGGTTACCACCAACCAAGCTAAATATCCGATTTAAATGGGTACTTCCCGTCGGCCAGGCTCGCCTAAAGATCCGAAAATGCTCGGGCTGGAGGGCTGGAGGGCTGAAAGGCTGCAGGGGCTGGAGAGCTGAGAGGGCGGCTGAGGGTTTCATGGCGTCCTGGGAAGAGTTTCATGGTCTGATCGGCTATCTTCAAACCTCCAGGGCTTGTGAGGATGGCCTGGCCAGCCCCTTGAAATATCCGATTTGAACTTACATGTTTCAAACTACCCCCTAGCCCTGAAGCCTCGGCCTGGCCCCGAATATATCTAAATGTCGTCACGGTATAATTTGCAAATGCAGGAGTGTAGAATGCCACTCATGCAGTTTTCCTTGAAAAGAGAGCTTTGCGTGGAAGGCAGTGCGATCCGCGTGCACAAAGCGGGGTGACAGCAAAAGAGTGCTCACTTTATCACCAGCTAGGGCCTCAGAACCAACCGCTGCTAAGGACTCTACTTGTCTCTACTTAATTGCACTGTCCCTGCCCGGCATTTCATCATTGGAAGATCTTGCATCGAGAAACAATCCTCCCTGCATTTTTTGACAAAATACCTGCTCCCCAATCTGGAGACCAACCTCAGCAAGTCTATCATCACACACATCTTACACAAGGAAAAAGTGCACCATCATGCTCATCAACTTCATCACTTCATCAACTTCATCATGTTCATCATCGTCATCGATATGATCATGCAAGAGCATTCAGAAGGCGAGACGCAATCGGAAGCTGGGCACCGCCTGTGTGACCAGCGGCCTTGTTTGGTTCAGCTCGACCTGCCGGCTTGGCTCTGACCAAAAATCATTAGAGCTGGCGTGTTGGGTCTTAAATTCAATCTGGGCCATAATCACAGCAACAAACATAGAAATCAAAACATGTGGACTCTCATATGACTTGCTTGCTGCCAAAACATCCCCCTGTCAATCTGAATGTGTTGTCAGCCTGGAGAAAGTCTCAAACGAACACCTGCCGCAATGTGTAAATACATATGATACTGTACTGATGAAGCATCTAGTTTCATCCAAAGAAGCCAACCATCACCTATCCAGCCCCATAGCAGGGTAACTTATCTCAAACAACAAATCACGTGGTGCGTTTGCTGGATCCAATGCTGCCTTTCGAAACCCCGACGCGTGCCACCAGAACGACCCCACGGCGCATTCGGCAGAACCATCTTCTCGCACAGAAAACACATTTCAACTGACTTCAACTCCAGCCCAATTGAGACTTTGTCCTCATCTGATTTGCGGCCCGACCACCTCCTGCCCCGGAACCTGTTCAATCTGAGGCTCGACCTTCCTGGGGGGTATTGATCCGACGTTAGCATTACCGCGGCTGCTTCACTCACAATGTCACAATGCAAATGTCCACCGATCGATTATCTCCAAGGCTTCGACCGTCGGCGCTGGCTGCGTGGCTTGATGGGCCGCGATGAAGGGTCGCTCAGCTCCACGCCTGAGAGTGCCGGAGCAGGACAACACCTGCATCTTGATGAACAAGGCTTTTCTTTGTTCCGACACTTTTCAAGCTGGCAAAAGGTAGATGTTTATAGTTGATTCAGTGACCTCGTCTGAGCTTCTGTACTTCTGGTTGCCAAAAGGCCAACACACCACCCTCCCAAATACAGAAACTTCGTCCCACTGAGCTTTTGCCTCACTTCAAACATGACGTCTTGATGAGGCGTAGTAATTTCAGCATCACACAGAGCCAAAAAGGGTGCTGTCCGCAACCAGTAAACATTGCCACTTCGTTCATAAGCCGCTGCTTCTCTAAAGTGGCTTGAGGAGCCCCTGACATCACCCGGGTCCACGTTGTGGGAATATTCTCGTGGGACCTACGGGGGTAAAGCATGTGTGTGTGTGTGTGTCAAAATAGGGAATCCCCATGGTTTGCCAAGAAAGGATTCCCTGAAAAACCTGCAGAAAAACTGACACCCCTATTGACACTTTGGGGCATGCCTATAGCAGTAGGCAACTTGGCCTTTTGCACCAGTCGAGAAATGCTCTGAGCGGGCAGCTGTTTGGTCAGCATCTTGACCATTACCGCAATCTCCTGGCGCTTGCAGTGTTCTGAAGGCGGCCGTTGACATGAGAATGGCTAGAGACCTCTCATGTCATATCAACTAGGTTCATTGTGATGAGCCACCTTCAGCATGTTGAAACAAACAGAGCAAGGCGACAAGCTGAGAGCATGGGGAATGGGGGCATCCAAAATGGCACCGTTCCGCTCCTGGTCTCGCTGGGCCACCTCGGGGCAAAAGCGGCCAACTGCAATGATTGATCCATCCAAACAAAGCGAATAACGCGAGTGACCACTGCATGACCCCCGAGCCATAGACAAGTTCTCAGAGACATGATCCGGAGAAGCTGGTGGAGAATGTGATTCGCGAATCCCGAATCCCGAATCCCGAAGCCGGACCGGAGGCTGGGGCCTTGGAATCTAGAAAACGTGTTTCGAATCCCGCATCCCGAATCCCGAGTCCAGAATCCCGAAAATGCGATTTTAATCACGAAACGTGAATCACGACATTGGGAGCGACCTCCGGATCGCCACTCAGTTCTCAAGGCAGGATGCTTGAACACAAGCCCAAGACATGCGCCTCGAGCTTCATCTTCTTGATCTCTGCCTCCAGTGCCGCCGCGCGTCCTGGAGTTTTGAACTTTTCTTAGCCAGCATCTTATCAATCCACCCAGCTGCCAGGCTCTGAGCAAAGCACGAGCATAATGCTTCCGAAAGGTCTTCTGCTAACCACGGCGAGCTCAAAAATACCAGTGAAAGAAGTGGCTTGCCCATGTCTTGTGAAGCACCAACAAGACTTGTTTGGGGGGCAATAAGAACGCCGGGACAATGCCAATTGTCAATCATTCAGTCACCCACCCTGACCAAGAATCACCCTGCGGGCGAGCTATAGCTCGGATTGTTGCAGCAGTTCAGCCGTTTCTCCTGTCACTCCTCAGTTGACCTGTCTAGCATATCTGTGGATGATAAAACAAATGCCTTGAATTCACCAAGGGTATGCGTGCATCGCTGTTGGCCAATAGCGTCCTTCGAAATTTTGGTGGCGAGTAATTATTGTGACAGACTGCCTCCCTCACTAGCTGTTCTTCAACAGCACGAGCCTTGAATAGCTTGTTCAATAAGTGTGCAAACGTCATTTCTAAAGCATCGCTGCTTCCAGCACTTGCAACCTTGTGTGGCTTGCGTATTTGCTCAAAGCGCAGAATGTGCTAATCTGAAGATGCACAAGTAGAAGCACACAGTGGACTTGTCCAACCACGTAAGTCCGCCACTACTTAAGATGGTTGAGGGGCCTCACCCCTCGCTCCTTCATCTGCAGCTGGCAATTCGCCTGTAGCAAAGCTGATTGGGTCTCAAACAGAACACACTAGCAGGATGCAAATTCGCTTTCCGAAACCTTCTCAGAGAACTCACACCAGGGTAGACAAAAGTGTTCAAACACATTCAATCAATCGGGTGTTTGAGTGATTTCCATGCATGCTGATTCCTTCAATGCAGGAAACTATCCATTTTGACCAGGCCGCCCAATCCAAACATTGATCATCAAGCAAGGGCAAGTCAGCCGTTTGTGACGCAGGTATTTTGAAGTCAACAAGTGCGCGATTAGGGTCGGGAATCGCGCGGCTGGCAGTCCAAGCAGCCAGTTCACAAGCGACATTGCAGCAGTGTCAGTATCTTCCAGCGTTGAACCACCCCACAGGCTAGGATATTTTCAAAACATGGCACTTCGCCGATTCAGCGACGCCACGCATATTTTGATTGCGGGCTCTGAGGATTTGCCATCAGGAGTCGCCATGATTCCACAGTCTCTCCTTGTCCCACTTCCTCCTCAACATCTCCGTTCACAGCTCCGTCCCGCAGGCATCCTCTTCACACCAAAACCCAGACTCCAGGTTCGGGCTTCTTGCAGCCCCGACAAGTCAAAAAGCACCTCGAAAGCCGGAAGTGACCTTTGATTTGTTGGGTTGCAACCCCCCCTTTAATTAGAAGAAAAGTGCAACCAGCGTGCAGCTCGACTTACAGCTAAAGCACTGTCGCTGACCGGACTCGCCTGGATGATCCAGGCACATGTCCCGCAGAATCTTGAAGGAAGCACGGAGCCTGAGAAAACTGGCACTGGGGGCTCTGCGCACTGATTGTGGGGGGGGTTGGAAAAAATGTGAAGGAAACTCGCATCCTCTGGACATAATCATACCTGTGCTGTGGCGAACGACTTGGGTGCTTCCGGCGGGCTCGTCCAAAGCCCGGCAGATTGGCGGCGCCGCGTGTCTCCAGGGGCCAGCAGGCATGGCGCGTTGCGTCATCTTCACGCGCAGCCGCAGTGTTGTTCGAGAGCGCGGCGATCTCAGCGTCAACGATACTCGGATGCGTCAGGCAGCGTCGAGGCATGAGTACGGAGAGTGTCGGCGGCAAAAGGACGGAGCTGAGCCAAAGCGACACGACTTCCACACACAGGAGCGTTGTTGCATGCAGCATGGAGGTAAGACAAGGCATGTGAGGAAGGAACACACGGCTTCGTGCGTAACTAGTGTGTGGATGAGTAAATTACAGAGTAGGGGGCAAAGGAACGCGACTGCATTTTTCCGCGAGCAAAGCATGGCAGCTGAAGTGGGGCTGTGTCGAAAAGAACCAGCTTGTGCTTGCTTCTGGCTAGCTACTTTTCTTATTGTGTTCCACCACAACAAAGCGCATCCGCTGCATCACCGATTGGTTATGCACAAGGTTGGACATCGGCTGTCCCTGCGCAACCGCCAGCGGCGCACGTGCAAGCTTGTGCCGGAACGCGCAAGGACACGCGCAGGGACACGCGCATACAGGCACACATGCAGTTGGCGCGATGCAGTTGTGAAAGTATGTTTGAAAACGCAGTTCTAGGCAAAGTACCGCGTTGCCATCGAAGCAAAGCTAGTGCACGTGTGCGGACAACCAGGTAGGGCAACAACCCACCACCACGCAAGATCTCTGAGCCCTTTGGCGCTATCGAGTTATACAGTGCAACAGCAAGGAACATGACACGTTGAGTGCATACACGAGGACTGGAAAAGCAGTAAGACAAGGAATGTGAGGAAGGAACACATGGAGTCGTGCGTGAATAGTTTGTGGAGCAGCCAATACAACGTACGGAGGGCGCAAGAACGCGACTGTTTTTATCCGCGAGCAAAGCACGGCAGCTGAAGTGGGCCTGCGTCGACAAAACCAGCTGCTCCTTGCTTCTGGCTAGCTCCTGCGCGCTTGCATTCCGTGCGTCAGCGATCCGTAGAGACACTTCCAGCACCCGCCTGCGCAGCCGCAAGGGTTCCAAGATTCGCTCAGTTGCTGCAGGCGTGTACGCCCGGTGCTGTAGGTGCATTCGCCCACGGCTCTCCACGGGGGTATGCACTCAGAGCTGGTGCCAGGCGGAGGTCCGCGCGTAGCAGTCACGCTAGACATCAGGAGCAGTTGGCGCATGCACTTCGTGGCCACGTCAACATCTGCTTCACGCAGCAGCTGCAGCTGTTCCACAATGAGCTCGGCTTGCCCTTCCGTCGCAGACTTGGAGCACGCTATGGCCAAGGCATACTGCAACTTTTTGCCCGTCCGAGGTGGGTCCAAGACGAAATCCTTCAAGTTATGAACAGTGCAGTAAGCTATGGCTGTGAATTTTTCGGCCGCGGCAGCGTCTGCCTCTGCTAAACCATCGATGATGCTGGCAGCTTCTTGTTGTTCGGTGCGCTTGGAGGACACCAAAAGGACCAGGGCTTTGTTGCAACTCAGACGACGGCGTTTTCCTTCCCTCTCAAGGGAACCGGCCTGGTGTGCGTCCACATCCACTGGCTCCACGCGAAATGATGTTTGAAGTAAGCCGGGAAGGCGTGCGTCCACAACCTTTGGCTCCACTTGAACTCGGAGCGCACACTTTGCACCGCGCGTGTTCTGCCACTGGCATTTCGTATTGCGATCCCCCACACACGGCTCACTTTCCTGAGCTCATCTGCACCCGCTCCCAATGCGCGAAGGAGCTCTGTCACTCTGGCCGCCTCCCGCCAGGCACGGCGTAGTCCAGAAGAGCCTGCAATGAAACCGCTGGCAGCAGGGCGAGAAGCTTGTCCTTCACCAGCGCCCGAAGCTCTTCCTGCTGCAAACTGCTCCCACCTTGTTTCCGGCTAATCCCTGCGTTCTCGCACGCCGTCCATAAGCCCTGTCGATCCGAAGATAAACCTTCCAACAAAGCACCCGCCTGCGCAGCCGCAAGGTCTCCCAAGACACATGACCCGAGATGCTTGAATTCCGCGCGCGCATCGGCAGGCGCGGCTTCCAGCAGCATCGCCAAGGTAACCTGCACGCTTTGCTCCACCAACGCGCCGGAACTGCTCGGGCTTGTGCCCTCACCCGCGCGTGCAACCGCAGACGCAGTCATGCCCTGCTCCGCCCCACCCGAAGCGTCGCTGACTGGCGTTTCTTTCAGAAATCGAATGCAGGCGCCGCGCAACTCGGAGCGCACACTTTGCGCTGCGCGTGTTCCGCCACTGGCATTTCGTATTGCGATCCCCCACACACTGCTCACTTT